CCCCTCTCCCGCCTCCTTCTGCCTCCGCGGGCCGCGACCATCCCCTGCGCTCCGTGCCCAGCACGTCCCCCTCTCTCTTCCCTCCCTGCTCCGCTTCCAGCCGCTTTCCCCGAGTGACCTCCACCTGCTTCCTGTCCCGCTCCTTCTCTTCGCTCTTCCTTTTTTGATTTTTTTTAATTTTTTTGAACCCCCCCTCCAGACCTGAGGACAGCCAGGGTGCTTAGGTGGAGCGACAGGTATATCTTGTCAAGCAGCTGTGATCAGGAAGCTCTGAGCAGGGACCCTTGCTCCCAACGAGGTTTCCAAAGACAAATGGCAGAGCAGTTGTAGGAGATACATGACTTGTTCTGCCTTTCTCTGACCTCCACCTCTCAGAGCTCCCTCCCCTTCAATATTCTGCTGTGACTCACGTGCAGTATAACTTGTCTCGTGTGCACCCACAGAAACGTTCCTGTTCTTTCCCTATCTATGGCATGTTGTTGCCTGTAAGACAGACTTTTTGTGACATGGCACTTTTTGAGCAGTCTTCCGTCATGAAAGTTTTTTAGTGAGACACACTGTGTAGTTCATATCTGGAATGATGAAGAATTGTCTTGTATTGCTGCTCTTAGGGAAGAATGTTGCAGCATGAACAAATATAGTAATTGCTGCCTGTCTCAGCATACTAATATTTTTTTGTTCTGGCTGTTTAATGATTTCAGACAAATAGCTCACGATAATGTAAGCGTTCATAGGAAAGTTCATCCTCTTTAAAACACCTGGAGCACAAGAACAGAATAAAGTATTTGTTATTTCATTACTTGCTCCAGGGGCTTAAGTACGAGGAAGTAGTATTGAAAGTGCTGTAAAATATCTTGGATCTTGAAAAATTGGGAATAAAAAGTGAATGGTGTCATAGATACTCAGAAGATTTAGCTTGCTAAATAATGTTAGGGAACAGGGCATGTAAGAGTGGGTCTGTTGGCGTGTGTAGAACTATGTGGTGTTCAGAGTTCTAGGACTGGGCACAGAAACCTTTAGCTGAAGGAATTTCACACTTTCAGTTGCATGTTAGATCGAAAATTTTAGCAAAATCTTTCTAAGAAGGGTTTCTGCCACTGAAGCACACTCTGCTCTAAGTTTAGTAATATTTTGATAAAAAAATTTACTAGTTAAAATAAACTTTCCTTGGGCAGTCAAAACAATATTTTTAGGAGTAAGTGGTGAGGAAACCAGTAGAAAGTTCTAAAATGGAAAACGAAACTTTCATGTTATTACTGCTTTAACTTATGTTAAATATTTCTGGGGGCTGGACTAAGCCTGAAACTGGGCCTTGCTTTTGTTCTCAGTTTGGTTCCATGTAAGTTATGACAATATTTTATGTGCACGTATGTCAGCATTAGAAGGAACTTAGTGGTTGCCTAGACTTGCTTTTACCACTTGTGTTATACAAGTATCTTGAGAACTTCTTAAGGACGAAGTTTTCCTTATGATAAATGCTGTGCAACTGTACACTCTGGTATTTGACTGTCATACCAACAACTGAGAAAGGCAAAAAGGCTGATGAATTACAAGCAGCATATCAAAGGGTATTGATTCCTTTACTGTCTGCGTTATCTTTTATTTTGTCGTATCAATGCATATCAATTCTCCCACCTTCAACCTTCTTTTTCTATGGGAGCCTAAACTACCTTGTTCTCCGTGATTGTTTGCAGTCACTTTGGTTGATCACCACACAAAGAAAGAGAAACATGGTTGAAACAGAACATTTACATTGTTGATAAAATCTTAAGCTGCTGTCATACCTTACTTTGTGGGTTTATGCCCTTTTAAAAAAATTTTTCATTTAATTTTTCATTAGGGGAGGGGTGATAGGAAGGAGGAGATGCTGTCTGACTGTTTTTGGGTGGGGGGTTATTTTTTTCAGCTGTCTGAAAATGTCGTTGATCGCATGAAGGAACCTTCTTCACCTAGTGGAAGACCGCAATCTCAGCACAGATCGGCATCTGGTGCAGGTATGCTCGTGTATTCTGTGTTTTCATTAGAGAAAGGAAATTGAATGTATGTTTCAGATCATTATAGTGAACTCATTACCATTTCTTAGAGGTGATTGTTCCCCTTATTTTTTTTCGCTGATCATTTTTTGAAGAATGAAGTAGTTTGTGGGCTGTTAGAAGACTTACTGCTTTTATTTTCTTCTGATTGACAGTAAAATGTTAAAAACAACTGTTTGAGACTTGTTTTTCCCAAGGTATTACCAATGTTAGAGACTCTGCTTTTTCAAAAAACAAGACAACAAAAAAACCCCCTCCTCATTCAGAGTATGCTTTGGGTTCTGAGCTGAAAATTCTAACATATTTGATCAACGCTAAATTTTAGTATAGTGAACGTTTAGCATTTGCTACAGTGTATTTCAATAAAAGAAGGATATATTATTCCCTATCATGGAATCGTTGAAATGAGTTTTATATATTCAAATGTGTATGTATAGAATACAGATATATTTTTTGTATGTTCATGTGTGTGTAAATATGTATACACCCCCCCCCCCAAATTCAATTTTTCATTATTCTTCCTGAGAATCTTCCTTAAAAATACCATCAGTTTATACAGACTGATAGCTCAAAATGATAGTTCTGTCAACATTTTGTATTTCGTTGTTGAGGGCTGCTCAAATGCATCAAGTAGACTCTGCACCAGAGAGGCGGTACTCTCATTTAAAAGAGTTTGGTAAAGTGAACAAAACACAGCAATTACAGGAGTGAAAGTGAATGGCAGAGATTGGAGCATGTGATTTATATTTGTTGACTGTGTGAATACCTGTAATGTTCAAGTAAGGCTTCTTACTGGTGCTCCAGAAATAGCAATATTATCAGTATTCCTAAAGGCACATGTGACTTCTTTCTATCAGGTGGATTATTTTATTTATTTATTTATTTCTTTAAAATACCAAGGACTCTGGCAAAAGTGGGCCTTGCAGCAAGGCTTGAAAGAACAGAATATGTCATCTTTCATCTAAAGCATTGAAGAACTGGTTTCATAATGCTTAACTAAAGATGTCTATGGTGTAGGTGTTTACATTTATTATGGGCTCCCTTTGTAGTCAATGGAAAGAAAAAGAATTTTTTGAGGGAATGAATTGCATCTGTCTTAGCTTAGAATTCTAATTTAGGATGAGATGGATTGCCCTCTAGGAACATCTGGGTGAAGAGTTCAGATGTTGACTGAATACAACCCAGCATGATGTACAAATATTGAGGCTCCCTACCAATACTATTCTGGAGGTTTACGTTTCCATTTTATAAATAGGAGGACTGGCATAGTGAAGACAAGTAACAACTAAGGACTAAAAAATAACTTAGACTGTCACCTGACTTATGAAATGTAGTTTTATACTCTTTGAAATTGTTTGGAAAGTTAATGTTTGCTTCCATATGCTTTGGATGCAGTAGGGCTACAGTTTTATTCATGAACTGCCAGACTCTTTCTGTCCCTCTCTTTTTCCCAATAATGGCCTTCTCATGGTGTACATGTATTTTGTTGTGATGAAAAAATCTTGAAAAATGGGTTATGTATACTTTCTTTGAAATAATACGTGGACATCCTAGCTGTTTTCACTTGTGATGCTCCTACCTAACTTGGGCTATGGAAGTGAATAAGCGGCAGTATTTTTTTTAGGATGTGATGACCAGAGATGAAGGCTAAAAGACCTCAGGAATTCTTTACTGCTTCACTGTTTGCACATATCTTGATCCTTTAATTTTGTTTCTTCCTGTATGTTGGAAATAGCTGCAATTTTTTTTTTCTGTCTTTTATTGAAAGGCTTAATGAATTGCATGACCCTCTGTAATCTTTGGAAAACCGTATGATTATTTCTGCTTTAAGAAGTAGTAATTGAGATGAAGTGCTTGTATTTTCCCAGGAAAGTACAATCAGGGTTATACCTCAGTTTTATTGCTAAAATGATTTGTTTGTAAGAGGATTAAATTATATTTAAGTGCATATTTCCACACCATACATTTTCATTGAATTTTTTTTTTTTGAGGAAGAATTATGAACTTTTGAATTTCATTGATGCTGTAAGACCATTCTACCCATTTGTTTATTCTGTAGATAGCTCTAACTTGTCAGAGTCTTCATTTGTCTGATAAGCTGATATTACAGGAAAACCACTCACATCAGAGCTAGTGCTCTGATGACTTCATACAGAAATACTGTGTGTTGGCGACTGTGGGGCTGGATCCCAGATCTGTGGATCTTCCCTGTAAGCTGTTGCGGTGCTGTAGTGCTGGGTCTGTGTTTCTTGGTTCAGCCTCTTGCACTGATAACAAGAGACATGACTCCAGAGAGCGCCTCCCCTCTCACTTATGAATCGAGTAGTAGTGACTTGTTACTCTCTAACTGCAGCACTCACTGCTTAAAAAGAGAGTTTTCCAAGGATGATGATGTACTGGAGTCTGGCTCTGGCCTTTGGATTATCAGCTGGACAGCTTAAAAACTTGGCAGTTCAGTAGCCTGCGTTTATATCTTAATATAGTCTAGATAAATGACACTTTTCTACAGAAATTAAAAAAAATGTCCAGAGTGAAAAACATTAAAGCTTATAAAAACAGCCCTTTCTCTTTTTGGTTGAGGAATAATGGATTACGTTACTTGAAAGAATGTGCGTCTAGTTGCTTGCCAATATATGATGAATTTATTGACTTTGGTTTGGGGAGGGAAAATGAAATTACATACGCTTATAACGAAATCTGACATTTAAATACTATGTCTTAAAACCTCCTAGCTTGCTTGGAAAGTCAGAAAATGATCCAGTAATATTAAATGCACTAAAATATTTAACAAGTGTAAAATCTTTAAAGTATATCTATAATTCCTAAAGCAATATTGATGAAAAGTAATTTGGCCAGACTATGAGTGCTTTTTCTAAGTGTGTATTATACCTAAGGCTTTAGTCAGAACAGACAAAGGGAATGGTTTAATTCATTTCAGCTTAGTGGATATTTGGAAACCTAATATTCTATTACAGGAAAAAAAAAAAAAAAAGGAGAACAAGTGCCTAAATTACCAGGAGTCTCTGCACCTCCAACAGCCATGTTTTTTCCTTTGCAGACAGCAGATTACACTGTTTTTTTTTTTTCAGAGGATTTTCCTCTTTTTATTTTTAACTGTATATTATATGTTATTGTTGCTACAGTATATCCATGAAAAAAATCAGTAAAGGACCAGTGTCCCAAAGTCCTGTGTAAGTGTGTGATAAGGTGAGCACTGCTGCTGCTGCCCCCTCAGAAATTGGGTTAGACATCGAATGTTTCCACTAGGGAAATATATAACTTAGCCTTGTTCATTTTGTGAAATGATGTCTTTTGATTGTATACTTTGTTTTGGGGTCCATGTCTTTTGCTGGGCCCTCATTGGCCTGTTATATCTCAGGTTGGGCACAAACATTTGAGGATGTATTGTTGAGATGGATGGGAATGAGCATTTGAAGAATTTGGTTGTAATTGGAGACACAACTAGGATTCTACTGGACTTTAGAAGAGCAGAATTCAACTTCTTCAGGCAACCAGTTGTTTGGATATCATGGAAGGCAGCTCTGAGGAATAAGCTTAGGAAAGCTGGAAGGTGCTTAAGGACAGAATCACAGAATGGTTGAGGTTGGAAGGGACCTCTGGAAACCATCTAGGCCAACTGCCCTGCTCAAACAGGCTCCTCTGGAGCACGTTGCACAGCATTGCGTCCAGGCGGGTTTTGAATATCTCCAGGGAAGGAGACTCCGCTACCTCTCTGGGCAACCTGTTCCAGTGCTCTGGCACCCTCCCAGGAAAGAAGTTGTTCCTCATGTTCAGATGG